GGAGAGCGGCCGCTGCTCCTGCCCAGGGTTGGGTTGGGGGTCCCGCGGGGCAGGGTCTGCCCGCTTTGTGCCCCCCCACCCCGGGCTCTGCCCCCACCTGCTCCCGGCACAGCCCCGGCCGGATCCTGAGCCGGTTTATCTTGGTCCCGTCCTGGCAGAGCCCGGAGCCAACAAGGGAGTTCCCTTCTCCTCCACACCATGTCTGGGGCTTTATTTTTTTTCCTTGGGAGAGGGTGTAGAGGCTCTTTTTCCCCCCCCCTTCCCTCCCCAAGGCCTCGGGGTAATAACCCGGGTGGAGGTTAAAAAAAAAAAAACACACACACAAAAAAAAAGAAGAATAAGAATTAAATATTATCTTCCCGGAGCCTCTGGGGACGGCTGGTGCTTAATCACAGCAATTCGGGATTGTGCTGGGACCGAGCTGGGCTCCGAGGGCAGCCTGACTCAGATGTGATCCCCAGGTTCCTCCCGTGTATTCCCGGTGTCTTTGTGCCGGGGGGGAGAAGCTCGGGATGAGACTGGATGATTTAATTAGCAGCCGAGCCTCCCGGGTGGCTCCTTGCCCGGCTGGGGGACCGCGGGGTGGCCGGTTTAGGGGCGGGGGTCACCGTGTGCCATTGTGGGAACGGGGCCGGGGCACCCCCCGTGCTCCGTCTGGGCTCCCTCCAGCCTCTGGAATGATCCAATGTGGTTCCTTGTTTTCACCAGCCTCGCAGACAATGGGGCCGGAGGGGGGCTGGGAAGGGGGGGAGAGCCCATCTCCCGGCGTCTGGGCAGCGCTGGAGCAGCCCCAGGTCTCGGGTCTGGCTTGATTTTTAGATTTCAGTGGCGTTTTCCGAGGGCTGGAGCGGGTGGCAGAGGCTTTATGGCTTCATTGTCCGGCTGGAATCCTCGGGAAGGGGCCTCGGAGGAAAACCAGGGACACCATCCCTGCCCTTCCCGGGCTGTTCCCGGGCACCCCAGCGAGGGATCCCAGCCCTGGCACCTCCAAGGGCACTGTGGTGGTGGGTGAAAACAGTCCCCCTGCTCCTTGATCCCGGATAGATCCCGTCCCTGCTGCTTTTCCGGGATCCAAGGCACGGATAATGCTGCCTGGTGGGATTTGGGAGGGTTGTCAGGCGCCTGGAGCTGATGGAGCAGAGCTGTGAGGGATCTAAAAGCACGGCCCTTGGTGCTCTGGGGGTCCTTTTGGGGTAGGAATGGGCCTTTTTGGGGTAGGAACGGGCCTTTTGGGGCACAGATTTTTGGGAGGCTGCTCCTGGAGAACGGGTTGAATTCCCAGGCCGTGGATTTCCAGGAGCACAGCCCCTGGTGCCTCCCGGGCT